CATACCACGCTGGCTGGTATCCTACCATCTATCAGTAGTAATATGAGCGTCGCTACGGTGGAATTCCTGGCCGAGGGGACGTGGCACCGTACCTACACTGTCTACTTGTCTACGCAAGCTTCTTCAACGATAGTAGGAGAGACAATGCCAATAGCAGATGGGCCGAGATCCTTGAAAGATCCACAACCACCGTCACCACCGCCGTCGCCACACTCATCCTCCTCACCCTCTTTAGATCCGTCCAGTCTATCGAGACCCTCGTCCATACTACTATCACCTTTATCTTCGCTTATAGACTCACCACACACGCCAGTGGCCCATCGAAACAAAATCGAGCAGGTTCCAGTGCACTCACTTCCCTCACAGAATATGCCCCCAACCGAGCTCATTATGCGGGTAGCCCTACCTGCCTATCCAACCAAAAAGACTGACTCTGAGGTTGCTACTTTGCAGTGGGTCCGTCAGCATACCTCCATTCCCGTCCCACAGGTCTATGCCTACAGTTCATTCAGCCAGAATGGCCCCCTAGGCTACGAATGGATCTTGATGGAGCGGATGCCAGGCGAGAAATATGCGGTGCTTGAAGATTCTTTGTCGCATGATGCGCAAATCGCCCTGGCTACGACTTTGGCCGGCTGGGTGGATAGCCTTACACGAATTCCGTTTGCACAGATCGGGAGTCTCTATCGTTTATCGGAAACTCTTGCCCCGGATTTCAGCATAGACAGTCATGCTACACTGGCTACAATCCATCGACAGCCGCTGCACAGCACGAGTGACCGCCTCCCATCACATGTCACTGTTCAATCCGTGAGCACATGCTGCAATGCAGGCAGTCCCACCAATGATGGAAACCCGTCGGTTCTGGGGACCCCTATCTTCCAGCCATTCTTTGGGGACTGGCGTCTAGAATACGATTTTGATCGTGGGCCCTTTGCCACTGTCCATGATTTTGCACTTGCATGCTCGGCTGCCTACAAGGCCGAAGTCTTCGATCCACGTCAGACACAACGTGCCGAGATTGACCATCTGGAGTGGCTCATAGAAGAGGACGACTTGGAAACTACTGCCAGCGATCCTCGCTACTCAGGCCGGGAGCAACGCGAGGCACAGCAACAAATAGATGCGGAAACAGAAGTAGAGAGGATCACTCGATATGATCGTCTTCGCAAACAGCGTGCTGCCTTGCAGATAGCCCGTACGCACCACACCTGCAGCCCAGTCTCATCCGACCACACACGCTATGATTTTGACCGCCTTGAAGCACACCGCACATCAACAGCTATAATTGACGAGATCATTGATATACTCAAGCCGCGATCCTCGCTAAGTGGCCCAACCGTCCTTACACACTGGGATCTTTCCAAAGATAATATACTGGTTGATGCAAAGGGCCAGCCAACAGCACTCTTAGACTGGGAACAGATCATCACTCTCCCTTTATCTGTGGTGCCGTACTACCCACGCCTACTCCAGGATGGCCTATCGTCAGAATATGGATCGGTCTACTCTGATGATTGCTTGGATGAATCGGAACAAAGCCATATGCGACGGGCCTTTGATCAGCGGCTTCGTGAGCTCGAGTCTCCGTGGCTAGACATACTTGATGACGAAGGAAACTTGGAGAATGAAACAAGGGAGATTGAAGCAGAATATGGACAGAGAGACGGGCAGCCCAGCACAGAATGGTCAGCCGCCATTCAGAGTAGGCGGGCGACTGCGCCAATGCCTTCGCGACGGCTATTACGGTTGCTCTTTAGTGAGCTCCAACATTCATTTCACAGTCCCAAGAACGTCGAGGATCTGCTCCAAGAGGTCAAGGATGAGATGATGAACAATGACTCTTGATAGCGAGGCTGTTAGTTATGTCTGTCGGTCGGTCGATGCACTCGTCTCTTCGGGGGAAGGAAAAGAAAAAGAAAAGGGAAATTACACCTCAATAGATAGCATATGACAGCTTTTATACTCATCTTCTGTTCAATTCGAATTGTAGGCAATCTTCCTCTTTATAAAAAGGAGACTCCATACGAGATTTGGGTAGAGAACATTGATCCAACAATTATCAAGACCAATGTGAAGCCCGGAATAGTTCACGATTTCGCGTTGCACGATGTATGCCTGCCATCGATCGACCAGCCTAGTCTCGAGACGTACGGCTTTTAATGGGCTCATCGGTCATTCTCAACGTGAATATGGCATCAAAACAGCTAAGGATGTTGGATTTAATGAGATGAAATGAAGTATGGTGGAGGCAAAGTAGTTGCTTATCTCATGATAAGGAGGGTTGTCGGCAGGCGGGATTACCCGATCTCCCAAGCCACAAGAGCCGCCAGAGAGTCACGGGGAGGACAAAGCAAAACAATGGACTAGGCAAGAAGTTTCCTCCCGGACCCGTGCAAACTCACGACAAAACATCACAACACCGAACGATCTCGGCGACACGATCTTCGACTGGCAAAGTACGAGCAGAAGTTCATTCATTCTTCCGCCCATCGATGATGCAGTATCCACCAAGCATTGCAGCCAGACTGGACTATCGCGCTGTCCCGACCAACGACAGCGACGACAGCGATGGCTGCGATGGCGAGGTCGATGGCGGCGAGGCCACCGGCTTGGGGTTGATTGTGCTGCCCGTACGTAATCACGATCACACATGATTTTTTTATTCTTTTTAAATTGTGCCCATCCTTTGCAGTGCAGCAAACGAATTCGCCGAGTACTTACCAAGAACTAGGACCAAGAAAGAACCCAAGAAGGAGAAGAGCAAGAAGACGCTCCCCTACTCACTCGTCCACCTCTCCAGTCTTGCTCGCCCACACAATTACTGGCCTCCTCCGTCAATCAGAACGCCGTCGGACCTTCATGTACGTATTGCACACACGCGCTCTCAAGGAAAAAACACACCTCCATCGAGGATTTCTCTTTTTCTCCCATCTCACCGCTCTCATTTCAATTTTGGAGCGTCGCCAGCATCCGTCTACTCTACGCTGTTGTTCACGTAGACACGTGAATGCCGTCCTTGCCTTAGCTTACCATCACACCCATCGATCAAAACAAGCAATGCACGGTGCCTGTCAACACTCAACTGGGTAGTTACCGGCCGGGAAACGCGTTGCTGTTCGACTGCCTGCCTAATTTTCATCTCTCTATCCATCCCTCCTCCATTTCCACCCTTCCACTGACCGATTCTAAACAAGGCCTACGTTGCCCAACCGCTTTGCTTACTCAGTTGTACGCACGCGCACCTGATCTGTTTCGCTGTCAGTCCCCCTAACGTCCAAACCTAAGCGTGTCTCGTCTAGCGTGTTTTGTTTTCTGTCTGCAGGCAGTACAGCAAAGAAGAAGCTGACATGTGCATCACATTTCTTAGATCACCCGACGTCTCAGTCTCAGCACGATGAGCTACCGCCATCATATCAGCAATCTGTCAACAAGATGAACTCCAATGACGGCAACGACAACGGCAGC